CAGCCACTCCTCGGAAGGAAGGTTGGGCAATCCTACTTCCGTAGTGATACTGCCTCGGAAACCCAAGGAGGGGTCGCTATGAGTCGGGAACAACTGGACAGCACATAACAACAACAACAACAAGAAGCTTCAAATAAAGGATTTACAAATCAATTTTTAGAAGACTTCTTTGCAATATCAGAGTGTATCTTTGGATATTAGAAATTTCTTAAACTATTTCTCGTATCCCTAATGCCTAGTATTAAAAAAATTCCAAAGTCTGCAATATTAGGAATAGCCTTTGCTATTTCAGGTTAAACTAATTAATACAATGAAAGGAAAAAAAAAAATTCTAGGCCCAGAGTTAGGATCTTTGCTCTCTTAACTTACAGCTACCTTCCAAAATTAAATGCCTTTCCAAAGGACCTTTCCCACACTATGCCCATCATTCCTCCTTAGCCTTCATGAAGTTGCCACCACGTTCGTCTTGCCTTTTCTTTGACTACCACTTAACACATGTGCACAGCCTTTAGTTTAAAAAGCAGTTTCCTCCTATTTCTAGAATTTGGCCTCACACCATCCCATTTCTCAGATAAGAACTCCAGTCCACAGAAGTTGGTGGATCTGCCCACTGACTCAGTCATTAGGGGACAGGCAGGGGATCTGAAAGGGGTCCTGTAAGTGACAAGGTTTCTCAACTTGCGAGTTGCCTACAGAGAAAATTCAATGTCAGTGAACACTAATGGGGAGATGAGGTTATATCTATACCTTCAAGGATCTCTGTCTGATATTCAGCACCCCCTTTGTATTCTGAATGTGAGCCACACGCCATAGTGGTGCACTCCTGCAGCCTCATCTTGACATTTAATGGTCATTCCTACATCACAAATCTGGTCTTGGCATTTTAGCAATTCTAATCCTACAGTTTTATGGTGTATTCTTTTCTTTCTTTTCCCTGAGAAGGGGTATGTAAGCTTCAGATTGCCAAATCCGTAGTTTTAAATCACAAACTTTAAAAGCCAAGCGGCTCAAGGCCGGGTCCGTGGCCAGTACCCAGGCAGCCGACCCTGCGTGGTCGCGTAGTCCCCACCCCTCGGCCTCCTAGAGGCGATCCAGTTAGGCAGAGCCGACCTGCCGCGCCAGCCCGGATGCCTCGCGGTATTACCTGGCGGCCCGGTTAGGAACACGTGCCGGGCCATGATGGAGGGGTCTGGGCCAAGAGGTGAAGTAGGGTTGTGTACCACTGCCCGCGCACCCAGGCCCCGCCCCCTCGTCCGGAAACTGCGCGGCCACGTTCGCGCATGCGCCTTCAACCTCCCAGCTGCCTGACCTGAGGCCTAAGAAAGGCGGCGGTCTGGTGCCTTTTGACCTGGGTCTTAGCGAGGGTGTTTGCAAGGAAGGATATGTGTTAGAGAATCTGTTATTAACCGCCTGCGGCCCCGACTGAGCACCCAGAACTTGGATGGCAAGCTGGTTAACCCCAGGCTGTCAGCTTAGCTTGAGTGCCTTCCTTCCAAAGGAGACTTGATTCCTGGAGGCCATCCTGAAAGGCAGGGATCATTGAAGGCCTCGCTTCTGAATTGAACTGTTTGCCCAGGGTTCTTGGCCTCTGTTTCAGGGTACAATCACTTGGGGAGCTTTAATTTACCCAAAGCCTGGGTTCCACGTCAAGATACTGAATGTCTGTGACTGCCATCAGCCATGCCCACCAATCCCAATTTCATAAATCAAAACTAAAACTAACTCAAGACCCAACCAAGGGTCGTGCAAATTAAGTGTCATTAGTAGTAGTTCTGGTAGCATAGTGCCTAAGGCACTTGACTCCTAACCAGAAGGCTGGAAGTTCAAACCCACCAGCCACTCCTTGGAAGGAAGGTTGGGCAATCTACTTCCGTAATGATACTGCCTTGGCAACCCAGGGAGGGGTCGCTATGAGTCGGGTCCCACTTGACGGCACATAACAACAACAACAACAGTCTGAGACCTTTCCTCCTTCACTTTACCTACTTACTGGAAGTGTTCCAGCCAGGGCAAGGAAATGGCAGTGGCTTTGGGCCACATTTGCCTATAAACGCTTTCAGTCTGACATGTACGTTTTGACTTGTGATCAATCATTCTCCATCCTGGCAGAGAAAGCAATTGCAGTGATTGGTTTGTGCCCTCACATGTACCTCCTGAACTCCCTTTAGCCCACAATATACACTCCTCAGATGATCTTACAGATTCCTTCCTGTTTAAAAAAGAATTTTTTTTTTTTTAGAAAAAAAAAAGGTCAGATTTCTACACTGTAGCTGTTACTATCCTTTCTGCAGCATTGCAACATTTATAAAGCATTTCTTTCTTCCATTAAGCCAGCAAATTGCATCTCGGGAAATGCAGGGCCTTCTACCTAGATTTATCTTCCACTTTCACGTAAATTGGAAGCAAGGAGTAACTGACCTAGCAGTCACTCCACAGTGGTAGTTTCCAAAAGAATGAAAGGAAGCATCCATAACCATAATGTATCAAAGCCAAAAACCAAACCCACTGCCCTAAGTCCATTTCAACTCATAGCAACCCCCACTGGGTTTCCAAACTGTAAATCTTTACCAAAGTAGATTCCTTCACTTTCCTCCCATGGAGGAGCTGGTGAATTTGAATCTCTGACCTTCTGGTTAGTAGCCAAATGTTTTACCCACTAGGCCACCAGATCTCCTTAATCATATGTGTACACTTCTTTTTATCAAAAGTATTAACTGTAACATTTCCATCACTGAGAAGCAGTTTGAATCACCAGATGTTGGATTATTTTCTTTACATGATATACCTGAAATTCCAGTAACCAGTAGCAGGCATCAGTGTTGGCAGTTCAGCCATATATATAGAATATCGATATAAACAGTTGATATTTCAAAGAAAAGTAAGAAAATGCTTCCATAGTTGAAAGTTCATTTCCCATTAAAACTATTTCTTTGGATAATGGTTACATAGGTGCATTCACTTTATAATAATTCACTGATCTGAATACTTTTATACAATTTCCTCTACATGTTATAATAAAAGCATAGATCAAATACTTTATGTCTATTAAAGATTAATAAAAATGAGACCAAAACCAAACCAAACTCACTGTCATCGTGTCAGATCCAACTCATAGTGACCCCTCCTTGGGTTTCTAAGGCTGTATCTCTATAGAACTAGATTGCCCAACCTTCCTTCCAAGGAGTGGCTGGTGGGTTTGAACCATCCAGTCTCTGGTTAGCAGTCCAATGCCTTAGGCACTGTGCCACCAGTGAGAGGGTGACATAATCAGGAAAAAAATTAAATAAATAGGATAAGAAAAGACCTTGATGAATCTAATTTTTGCTTAAAATCCAGCTGAGATAATTCCAAATTCTTCTAGAAGTACCAGAGTACAGTCCACCTTCTGATAAGCTGCAATGCAGTTCTTTATTAAAGCAATTCTCAAGTACAACTCTACTGTCTCTAATCTATAATTCCAGAATTCCCAAATCCCTAAAAGCAGTGTTTGTTTTTCATATCTCTACTCTTTCCAGGACTGTCCTAGGCTTTTTTTTTCCCCTTCTATTTTATTTATTTATTTATGTATTATTGTGATTTGGGTGAAGATTTACAGAGCAAATTAACTTTCCATACAGTAGTTTACATATACTTTGTCTCATGACATTGACCACAGTTTACCACAATGCAACAGCTCCCCGTCCATTGCCTCCCCATAGTTACCTCTTCCCAGTGTCCATCCCTCCATGGACTCCTGCCCCCTAAATTGTTTCCCTGTGCGAGGCAGCCCTTCTTTCTCAATGATTGTTCTCTCCAAGGAGTGTATCTACCTCAGGTAAATGTTCAACTCATATGCCTGTCTTCAGTTTGGCTAGAAACTACAGGTGTGGGTTCAATTCCAGACCTGAAGGGCAGCTAGGGGCCATAGTCTCAGTGGTTCCACCAGGCTCTATTGGACCAACAAACCTGATCCCCCCCCCTTTTTTTTCTCCAAATGATTTTGAGTTTTGTTCCACATTGTTCTCCCTCTCTATCCAGGATCTCCTACATAGATGCCCTTCCAAGTGGATGACAGTGGTAGCCAGGCACCATCTAGTTCTTCTGGTCTCATAGTCATATAGGCTGCAGATCAGATGGTGTACCAGTTGC